ACCTCGTGATCCACCCGCCTCGGCCTCCCAAAGTGCTGGGATTACAGGCGTGAGCCACCGCGCCTGGCTATGTTGCATATATTTTAAGAACCTATGGTTAGATGAATGAAAGTTCACATATATTTTGTCACCTTTAATATACTTCCTTTTTTTTATTTTAATAGAGATGAGTCTTACTATGTTGCCCTGGCTGGTCTCAAACTCCTGGGCTCAAGTGATCCTCGTGCCTCAGCCCGCAAATACCTTTTGTGCCCAGACCTTACTACCTACATTAAAACACAAAATTTTAGTTATTTCTAAAATTTTTTGTATTGTTTCATTTTGTTGAATATCAATATTTCCAATAGCTATTTTAATAGCATACCTTTCTTCCCTTACTGATTGGAAATTATTATTTTATTTTAGATGATACTATTGTGTTTCATGCATGGGTGTTATTGAGGGTATTGAGCTATTTAACTTATCCTTCAGTAGGTGAATTCCTCTTTTACAGACAGGGTAAAAAAATGAATAATTTGGAATAATTTCACCTATTTAGTTAAGTATTCTTTCAATTATATATTTCCGAATGAGGATTCATTTATCCTTGTCTTTAGAGAAGACAGGTTCTAATTCTGTTGTAGCTGAACTCTGAGTACTCATATATGTACATGCACACGTACTCATACGTGTGTGCCTGTGTGTGTGTCTGCATTTGTGTGTGTGTATGTGTGATTTTCAAATACTTGCCTGTTTCCCACTTTTCATCACTGTGGCATCTCACATTCTACATTTTGGATTTTCTTCTAACTGGATTACATCATTTAAAATCGCTTTCACTGAGCATAAAAACAGTAATATCTACTAACTCGCAGCTCAGAAAATGCCTTCTTCTTACTCATGCTCTATCAAAGTAGATGAAAACATTTCTATATTAATTAAAGGATAAGATAGAACAACTGAAGAAAAAGCACATGTGTTGATTGAGGGATCCACCCTCCAATCCCTCCTCAGCCCTCACGCAGGGGAAGCCTGACCTGATCAGCTTCACAGGTCCGTCTTACCCTGAGCTGCTTCTGCTTAGGAATTGGTCTCCTGCTAACCCTTTTACCTTTCAGATATTAACTCGGGTGAGCAGCGAATTCCTCACTTTCAATTCATTCCTTGAAGATACTTCTTCAACATCTCCTGGCCTTTCTTTTTTCTGTCGGGAGTCCCATCCCAATGAGAAGCAATTCTTTTGATATGTTGAGTTGAAAATCACAAAACACAAAAATGCATTTTAAATTAGAAAATTCCGTCTAGCATATGTATTTGTTAATTTACTCCTATTTTTCAGTTTATCGTAGTAGGTCAAGATTTGCATTTCATTCTTAAATGTATGCGCCCTAGTGTCTTAGTTTTTCTTCATCTCTTTCAAATGTTTAACTCTATTTCTAGAGCTGTTGCCAGACCTCATTCTCCCTTCTTTCCTTCTGACATGTACAATAAATGTGACGTTATTCCTCCTCACAATATTTTCCGAAGTACTGTGAATTTCCACTATGGGTCTCTCCACGGTACATTCTGGATATTTCTCTCAAATTTTGTTTTTCAATTTATAAATGTCTCTTCAGCTGTATCTTGACCTTGATGAAATAAATATTTTCATTGTATTTCTTCTATTGGAATTTTTACCTCTAGGATTTCTAACTCATTGGTCTGATGCCCATTCTTCGAAATTGTAATCCATATTCTTGCCTCAAAGATTCAATTTCCTCTTGTATTTTTTTCAGATATCTAAACATGTTTAATTGAAAAGGGGTCTCATGCATTCCTTATGTTCTATTTCTCTGGATATGATCATCCTTATCAATGAGTGTGTATATTGATAATCATAGCTCTTTAGAAGGCTAACTCTTGGTTGTCTATCTTTGTTAGACACTCACTTGCTACACCAATTAGTGACCATAAAAGACTGTTCTAGTAATTCCAGCCTAAAAATAGGGAGTTGTTCCCGCTGCACTCAGCTTCCAAATACGGTGTCTGCTCAAGTTGCTCCCAGAAGAAATAAATCCACGTGAAACTCACATTCACACGTGGTATAGATGCCCACATATAACAGCACTGCAGTGAATTTGTTTCACACACACATGGGGAGTTGGCTCAGTGGTGATTATGGGCTGAGATCAGTAAGCAGAGATGTCCCATCACAGGCTTCAGCCTTGCTGAGATACCCGAGCCCTCCCTGCCTGTGAGGTTCCTGGGCTCCTTATCTGTTCTACACAAAAATGCTTTGAAGCTTCCACCCTAATAACCCCTAATGACACCAGATTCAAATGCTCTGTTTTTAAATACTTTTTCTGAAGAGCTTTCATTTCCACTTTCTGCACATGACCCTGACAACTGGGGTTTTGATGAAATATGGTAGGAAACATCTCTCAAGGATAGGAACAAAGAGGCACTCCTAAGTGGAAGAAACATCAGTCACAAGCCTTGAGCATGGACACCAGCATCCCTTTATGTCCCCACCCCTCATGTCTCTACCTGCTCTGGAAATCACCCATGGCTGAGCCCCGTGCAGCTCGCAGGCACCAATGACCCAGCTCCCCTGTGATGAATGGAGTTCATGACAGACTTCAAATGAGGAAACTGAGGCTCAGAAATGGGAGGTTATGGCCAAAGTCACACCGGCAGGAGGTGATACGTGAATATTTAAATGAAGAGACTTCCCTTCAAATCAGAGTGCTAAACCCATGTATTGTCCCAAAACCTGAACACAGGAGCAAAACATGAGAATAGGAGTGTTTGAAAGAAAACGGGGTCACCAAGAAGGCAGCATCAGGTCAATGTTGTTTCCAGGGCCATGGGCGTGGATGCTGTGGCGACGACGAAGGAGAAGTTCGTGAAGGGAACTTTTTTGCATAAAGAAAACCCACACTCCAGTTCTGGGAAAAGAGTCATGATTCTTCCCTTATTTCCCTATATTTCCTCTTTTGCTCATTGCAACAGTGAAGCACAAATGGAACTGCACAGACAGATGTGAGATGAGTCTCTGCTGATCTGAGTCTGCCCTGCAGCCTGAATTTGCATCTTCCCTGAAGCCTCCCCAGGGCTGCTGAGAGGACTGGCCGTGGTAGGGACCCTACAAGGATATGTTTATGGATGAGCTGAAGGAGAAAGTGAGACCCCATGGGAAGGCACTGAGAGGAAAGGAAGAGTCCTCCATTGCCTTCACCTGGAAGGGACCGACTCAGGAAGGCACCACCACGTCCATTTGCAGCTACATACTGGCCCTCAATGAGATGAGGACAGGTCCGGCAGACAGTGAAAGGAGATCAGGGGAGATCCCATGTTTGTCTGAAATATCAGCAGAAAACCTGGTGCCTGTCTCAGCCCAAGCCCTGGGAAAACAAGAGCCAGGCTTGTGGTAGGGCAGGGGACAGTTCATTACCCATGGAGATGTCGATGGGAAAATCCTGTAAGCAGGAGAACACGGTTTCCGTGTGCTCACGCCCTGTGTGTTCTGTGGACACCATGGTCTCTTCCATCTGCACGGCCAGGGCCTGTAGGAGGAGACGCCATGATTCACACCCATGGCCATGGCCCACTTCACTGAGATCTGACGAGGGGAATGGGAGATTTTAGCATGAGAGGGACCCTGCCCTGCTGGTAGGCCCTGGTCCAGTAGGAGACCCCAGGGGATAGGGAGGATTCCATTCCCATTTTCTCGGGAAAATGTTTTCATTTCTCCCCATTCAATTTGATGTTGCCTGTGGGTTTTCATGTAGGGCTCTTATTTTGAGGTATGTTTCATGCCTAGTTTGTTGAGGGATGTTGGACTTTATTCAATACTTTATCTGCATCTATTGAGATGATCATATGCTTTTTGTTCTAAGTACAAGTTTATGTCATGAGTCACCTTTATTGACTTGCATATATTGAACCATCCTTTCATCCTGGAATAAAGACAACTTGATCATGATGAATTATGTTTTTGATACACTGTTAGATTCTGTTTGCTAGTATTTTCTTGAGGATTTTTGCATCTGTGTTCATCAGGTTTCTTAGCCTGTAGTTTTATTCTTCTGTTGTGTCCTTGTCTGATTTTGCTATCACGGTGATACTGGTTTCATAGAATGAGCTAGGAATGAATCCCACTTCCTTGATTATTTTGGAATGGTTTCAGTATGATTGGTACCAGCTCTTCTTTGTACATGTGGTAAAGTTTGACTCTGAATCCATCTGTTCTGGGCTTTTTTGCTGGAAGACATGTTAGTGTGATATTGTGCTGGCCTAGAGCCAGAACCGGAGCAAAACTATTTCATAAAATGCAAAACTGTTTTTAGATAAGTTGAAATGGCTGCCCCATTCTCCTCACAATAACTACTGTCCTTGGCCTCTGTAAATAGAACTGCTAGTTTGTTCTTCAAGACTATGTAAAGCTGCTTACCTTTTCTTTTTTTTTTTTTTTTTTTTTTTTTTTTTTGAGACGGAGTTTCGCTCTTGTTCCGCAGGCTGGAGTGCAATGGCACGATCTCGGCTCACCGCAACCTCCGCCTCCTGGGTCCAGGCAATTCTCCTGCCTCAGCCTCCTGAGTAGCTGGGATTACAGGCACGCGCCACCATGCCCAGCTAATTTTTGTATTTTTAGTAGAGACGGGGTTCCACCATGTTGACCAGGATGGTCTCGATCTCTTGACCTCGTGATCCACCCGCCTCGGCCTCCCAAAGTGCTGGGATTACAGGCGTGAGCCACCGCGCCCGGCGCTGCTTACCTTTTCTTATCAGTAACTGCCAGAATTGCTAGCCTTTGCTTACCGGCAATTGCCAGACTAAGCAGCCCAAGCTAGTTCCATCCTGGCTCCTGTGACTTGTAATAAGTAACTAAGGTCTGTGATTTCCACCTTAACCAGATAATGTGTAAACAAATGTTTATCTTGACTTCTGTAAACCACTTAAGTAACAAACGGAATGACAAAAGTCCCCTGGCCCTTGGAATGTCCGGAGACCCCCACCCTCATCTCTGCCCAGGAGGTAATTTACAGAATCCACTAGCCCTCGGAATGTCTGAAGCCTTTTCATCCCCATCCCCGCCCCTCACCCCCACTCCCAAGGTGATTTTTCGGGTATAAAAAATCGTGGCACCCTCCTTGTGGCACCACAGGTTGGAGAGACGTGAGTCCTCTGTGGTCGCCGGCATAATAAATGACCCTGCAATCTGGCATACTTTTGTCTTGTGATAACTTTCTACGCTCCGGTCAAATACAACATTAGTACTGATTCTTTTTCATTGCTTGTTATTGATCTGTTTAGGGTTTCCATTTTTTGCCTGTGCAATCTTGGGAAGTTGTATGTGTCCAGGAATTCATCTATTTTTTCTCTAGGTTTTCTAGTTTATATACATAAAGGTGTTCACAGTCGTCTCTGATGATCTTTTGTATTTCTGTGGTGTTGGCTGTAATGTCATCTTTATCATTTCCGATTGTGCTCATTTAAATTTCCTTTTTTTTTTTGGGTTAGTGTAGTCAGCCATCTGTCAATTATGTGTATACTTTCAAAAAACCAACTTTCTTCCATTGATTTTTTGTAATGTTTTTGTCTTAATCTCATTCTTTTTCTGTCCTTTTGGAGTTGCCATTGTTTTCAGGGTCTGATGCTAGAGAGTGAATGTGACCCTTTGGTGGTGCCACAATATTCAGATTTTTCACACATCAGAATCCTCACACTGATTCCTTCTCATCTGGAGAGGCTGCCACTCATTCTCTTTGGATTTATTTTCACTGGGATAGGGTTTCTTTGCACATTTTCCCCCAGCCCGCAGGGAGTGTGACTGTGGAGCATGTTGGGAAGGGTCTTTTGGCTTTTCTCCATCGTCTTGGGCGCTTCTGCAGCAGGGTTTGTGTTGGGCTGTGCAGTTCAAATTGCAGGCCAGGGGCTGGTGCTTAAGGGGAAGAGCCAGCCTCTGCAGCAGCAGGTGGGTATGGAGCTGTCTGCTTCCTGTGAGGTGCTGTCTGTTGTTTCAGGTGAAGGGCTGGACCGTGGAGTGCCTGGAGCCCTGAGCTTCCTGTTCCACAGGATGAGGAAACACAGCTGGGCAGAGCGGAAACCCCTGGCTTGCCCACAAATACCCCAGTGACGAGTGCAGGCACCAGTTCTGATGGGTGTGGCTGGGGCAACTCCTGGTGAAATGCCCTGAGGTCTCTGTGTGGTAGGGGTGGAGGGGGGCGGGTGAAGGACCTACATCCATTTCCATTCTTCAATAGGGAGGAACATTATCTGTTTCCCTATCACACGCCTGCTCCAGGGCTCATGAGTCTCTGTTCAGACACACACTGTTGTCCCTCCCCAGGCCACAGTGTGGCTGAGAGCCGTGGGAAACACCTGCCTGCCACTCTCCGCAGGAATCATCCTAAGGTAGAACCTCCTCACTCAGCGCAGTGCAGACCCCCAGCGGCTGCCTGTGTCTGACGTCGTCACACTGCTGCTTCATGTAGCTGGGATGTGGGGCTTCTGCCTTTCTGGCTGGACAAGTGGACGTCAGTTGTGGTGTTGCTGGCTGGGGGGACCCGACCTCAGGCCCTGGGGTGAGTGGTCAGGTGCCAGCAGAGTGGGAAACGGCTGGCAGTTCCCCGGATCACAGGCCTCTAGGTGACCAGCTGGAGAGAGCGTGTGGGATTCTTAAAGGGGCTGGACTGGGATTCGGCTGTTCCAGGGCTCAGGTGCCGGCTGTGATGAGGAGGCATGGGCCGGTCCCCAGGTCACCAGCAGAACTCTCAGGTGGGGCAGGCAGAATGCTCAGGTGGTAGAGCCTGGGGGCAGATCACAGGCCTGTGGGGACTGGTCTGTCAGAAGGGGGCTTCGGCGGCTGAAATGTCAAGGGGGGAAAGGGCAGCTGTGCTGTGGGCCTGTGACTAGGGAGGGCAGGGCCTCTCGACTGGGGCACTGGAGACTGGCAGGTGTGGGCACAGGGCCCGCTCACACTTGCCTCCTGAAGTAGTGGCACTTGGTCTTGCTCTGGGGACACGCAGAAGTGCCAGGTCTCCCCATACTCTCCCTGGGCCTGGGGCAGTAGGGGCAGAGGTGGCAGTAACTACATAGGGCTTGTCAGGAGCCTCTGAGCATTGGGCTTTCAGAGGGCACATAGCCAAGGCCACAGTGTTCTGGTGGGGACAGGATGGGTGCACTGGGGCCCTGCAGATGGCAAGCCCCATTTAGCAGGAAGCAACAGAGATGGGGAGCTGTGGGGTGCTCAGCTTGGCTGCTTCTGTACCCCAGTTGTCATATTTATTCTCAGGTCCATGGAAGTGCCTGGCCTCCTCACTCCATGAAAAGGCAGGGGCAGCTGCAGCCGGGTTGCTCAGGGATGAAAAGCCTATGGGATTCCATGTGGCTCCAGTGGGGCCTCAGCACACTCTCTAGGAGCAACCTGTGTGCCCCTGGAGGCCCAGAGGGGCAGGTACTCTCCTGTGAGCAGGATTGTAGGAGTCCACAGCAGAGGGGTGGATGCTAGCGGCTCTCACTCACCCCTTCCCCATGTTAGGGGGCCTTTCTCACCCCTTCTCCTTTTCAGGAAGCCTCTTACTCACCCCTTCCTTGTGTTAGGAGCCTCTCCTGGCTTTCAGCTTGTCTCTTATCTGCCTTCTGTGTCCCTGGGGTCCTCTGGTGCACCCCGGCATCCTCTCTTAGAACATCCGCTTAACGTGCTGGTATTTACTCGTCATTTAGATTCCTCTCTATGAGAACGGCAAACACCACCTGCTTCCATTCAGCCAACGTGAGCCTGAACCCATAGGCATTTTTTCAGCACATCATACTCTTTGGAAATCCAATCTTTATGAGATTGTCATTATTTGAGAATAAATTTCATTTTTTCCTTGGTTTTTAAATAACTGTTATTTATTCTAGATACCCTTCACTCCACCATAGTTAACATGTTCATTTCATTGATGAATTTGTGCACACTGAATTCATGTTCTTTCTCCATTTCTGTAAAAATGTCAACTATTTTCTTTGCAGTTATTTACTAACATACTCCTTTCCTTCATTCTGAAATTGTGACAGAGAGATATCTGTTTACTCTTCTCATTCTATTTCTGCACATATTAATTTTCTTTTCTTTCCTTTTTTTCATCTCTAGGGTTTCTGTGATGGCTTCTGAAAAAGAGAATAAATATTCTACACCAATATGATATTTATCATTTTAGCTGTGTCTTGTTCTGGATGAAATTATTTCTAAATATGTTGATATAATTCACTATTTTTCACATCACTATAGTTTCCTAATTCATTTCTATAATTGCCTGTATTTTCTCTAATGAACTCTTTGATTTTTATTCCTCTGGGGTGGTTTTTCTCTCACACACCTGATCTTCGTTAGGGTTTCTCAGGGCTGTCTGAGGAATGAAAACTGATGAGGGTATTGCTGTAGTGGCTCCTGCCTTGCAGTGTCCACGCTCCCAAGCTTAGAATCAGCTCCGTGTTGTGCCTGGCACAGCGGGGCCCTTGTGAGTCTCACACTCATGGGTGAGAGATGCCCAGTCCAACAGTGATAAAGTGTGTCTGTGTTATGCGCACTCGGGAAAGGTGGCTCAGAGCTGAGTGTGGCCTGGGTCACTGAGCTGAGCTATTTCAGGGTCTGTCCACAAACACAGAAGAGAGGGAGCCACAGTCTCTCCATGGTGAAACCGTTTCCTAAACTTCGTTCTTTGTTCTGAGAGAGAGAAAGATAAAGTGCCATGAGCTCTGTGGGCGGGACAGATGTATGTTTTCACCTGCAGGCTTGAATCCAAGCTGAGGTCTTTAGCATTCCCAGCTACTGATAAAGCACCTTAGGTTATTTCTGGAAAACACTGAAAATTTAACCCTTTTGCTAATGATGTAGAAACAGGCCCTGCCCTGAACAAAATTCCTCAAACTCTCAGGTTAAACTTCATAACCCAGTCCCTTCACTGCGGACACCCAGTAGGCAAGCCACAGCTCCAAGGATGAGATGACTCATTTTTTGTTTCTTTTTTTTTTTTTTTTTTTTTTTTGAGATGGAGTTTCACTCTTGTTACCCAGGCTGGAGTGCAATGTCATGATCTCGGCTCACCGCAACCTCCGCCTCCCGGGTTCAGGAAATTCTCCTGCCTCAGCCTCCTGAGTAGCTGGGATTACAGGCACGCGCCACCATGCCCAGCTAATGTTTTTGTATTTTTAGTAGAGACGGGGTTTCACCGTGTTGACCAGGATGGTCTTGATCTCTTGACCTCGTGATCCACCCGCCTCGGCCTCCCAAAGTGCTGGGATTACAGGCTTGAGCCACCGCGCCCAGCAGAGATGACTCATTTTTAAAAAGGGGAAGTTGAGATGGGAACTATTTGGTTGAAAGAAAACCCAAAATCCAGTGCCAAGAAAGAAGTCAACTTTTCTTCCCCCGTTTCCCTGCATTTCTCTTCTGTGCTCATGGCCACAGGCAGCTCAGCCTGGACTGCACAGACAGATGTGAGATGCGTCTCTGCTGATCTGAGCCTGCCTGCAGCATGGACCTGCATCTTCGCTGAAGCATTTCCAGGGCTGAAGAGACAACTGCCAAAGTAAGAACCCCACAATGCTGTGCTGATGGACAGGCTGAAGGAGGGAGGGAGACCTCATGGGAGGCTGTGAAAAGGAAGAGGTATCCTTAGCTCACCCTCTTCTGGAAAGGCAGATACAGGAAGGCACCAGGGCTATTTGTTGCTACATCCTGGCTCTCAGTGAGATGAGGACAAACCAGACAGACAGTGGCTGGGGGTCAGGAAAGACCCCATTACAGTCTGAAATGTCTGCAGAGGGGTTGGGCCCACCCCCACCTCAGCCCTAAAAATTTGAGAGCCAGCTCCTGGGGAGGGCAGTTCTGCTTCCTGTGTGACTGCAGATGACACAACCCCATGACAAGAAGGACCTAGCCACCAAGTGTCCACACCCTGTGTGTCTCTGTCCTGCCAGCACCGAGGGCTCATCCATCCGCAGAGCAGGGCAGTGGGAGGAGACGCGATGACCCCCATTCTTATGGTCCTGATCTATGTTGGTGAGATTTGAAGAAGGAGGGGAGATTCTAACCTAGGAGGGACCTCACCCCAAAGCCAAACTCTGGTCTATGAGGAGACCCCAGGGCTCACAAAGACTCCAGGGAGGGGAGGACCTACTCAGGCTTCAGGGGCAAATGTCTCACAGAGAACTCTCTTCCAGGGCTGAGTCTGGGCCCTAGGACCCACGTGCAGGCAGGTGAGTCTGTCCCGGCTGGCCTGGGTCCTCCTCCTCACTGCGGACAAGGCCCACCCCTGTGCAGCTGGGGAGGGGAATAGCAGTTCTGGGCTGACTGATGAGGGTCTGAAGAGTCCTGGACTGAGAGCTGGAATCTGTTGGATTGGGTGGAAATGACTTGAGATCTGACCTCTGATTTCCTGCCAGGGACCCTCCCCAAGCCCACCCTTCGGGCTGAGCCGGGCTCTGTGATCACCCAGGGGAGTCCCGTGACCCTCAGGTGTCACGTGAACCTGGAGACCCAGGAGTATCAACTATATAAAGAAAAAACATCAGCATCCTGGCTTATATGGATCCTACAAGAGCGTAGGAAGAAGGGCCAGTTCCCCATCCCTTCCATCACCTGGCAACACGCAGGGCGGTATCAATGTCGGTATTACAGCCACATTGACTGGTCAGAGTTCAGTGACCCCCTGGAGCTGGTGGTGACAGGTGAGAAGACACTCAGGGGTCCCAGCCCCAGGCTCTGCCCTCAGGAAGGGGCTCTGCACTCAGGGGTCCCAGCCCCAGGCTCTGCCCTCAGGAAGGGGCTCTGCACTCAGGGGCATCTCCCTCTCACAGCCCAGCCCTGGGGATGATGTGGGAGGTGAGAGCCCCACTTAACATGGTGCCTCCTTCTCTTCTAGGAGCCTACAGCAAACCCACCCTCTCAGCCCTGCCCAGCCCTGTGGTGACCCCAGGAGGAAGTGTGACCCTCCAGTGTGGCTCACAGGTGGCATTTGATAGGTTTGCTCTGCACAATGAAGGAGAAGATGAACACCCACAACGCCTGAACTCCCAGCCCCATGCCCGTTGGTCATCCCGGGCCGTCTTCTCTGTGGGCCCCGTGAGCCCGAGTCGCAGGTGGATGTACAGGTGCTATGGTTATGGCTCGAGCTCTCCCTATGTGTGGTCTTTACCCAGTAATCTCCTGGAGCTCCGGGTCCCAGGTGAGAAATTCACAGCATTGCCTGGAGATCCCTGAGTCTCCAGGCAGGAGGAGCCACGTCTCAGGGCAGCTCCAGGTGGGATGATGTTGGGGTGAGAGGGCTCAGGGCTCCTGGGCCAGAGACACAGGAAGATCAGCGGTGGTGAGGCCGGGGGAGAGGGAGGATTTGTGGGGAGCCTGAGGGTCGGCTCCTGGAGACCATGACCACCTTTCCCAGGTGTTTCTGAGAAGCCATCACTCTCAGTGCAGCCGGGTCCTGTCGTGGAACCTGGGGAGAGCCTGAGCCTCCAGTGTGGCTCTGATGTCGGCTATGACAGGTTCGCTCTGTACAAGGATTGGGGACCTGACCTCCTCCAGCGCCCTGGCCGGCAGCTCCAGGCTGGGCTCTCCCAGGCCAACTTCACCCTGAGCCCTGTGAGCCACTCCCACGGGGGCCAGTACAGATGCTCCGGTGCCCACAACCTCTCCTCCGAGTGGTCGGCCCCCAGTGACCCCCTGGACATCCTGATCGCAGGTGAGGAGCCCAGCAGGTTCAGTCAGGGACCCAGGCTCTGCACAGGCCCTGCCAGGAAGCCCAGGTGCTGATGGCCGGGATGAGGGGTGGGGGTCCCGAGGGAGGGAGAGACAGACAGAGACAGCAGATGGGTAGGGAGGGGGAGACTCAGAGAAAACAGAGACAGAGACTGAGGGTCCCAGAGAGAGGCCTGGGGAGGTCTCAGCTCAGAACAAGGTGGGGCAGCCCCTCACCCATCCTCTTCTCTCCAGGACAGATCGCTGACACACCCTCCCTCTCAGTGCAGCCGGGCCCCACGGTGGCCTCAGGAGAGAACATGACCCTGCTGTGTCAGTCTCAGATTCCAATGGACACTTTCCTTCTGACCAAGGAGGGAGTAGCCCATCTCCCCCAGCGTCTGAGATCAAAGTACCAAGCTCTTAAGTACCAGGCTGAATTCCCCATGAGTCCTGTGACCTCAGCCCATGCGGGGACTTACAGGTGCTATGGCTCATACAACTCTGACCCCTACCTGCTGTCTCACCCCAGTGAGCCCCTGGAGCTCGTGGTCTCAGGTGAGGGCCCTGACCCTGTCCTCTCTGAGCTCAAAGGCTCAGCTCAGGCCCTGCCCCCAGGAGAGCTCTGGGCTGGGATGGAGGGAGGGGGTGTGAAGGAGGCTCAGCCAGAGGGGACTCAGCCCTCAGAGGGAAAGAGGACAATGGGGCCCTCCCAGGCATACCCACCCTCAGCAGCCAGCATCGTGAAGAGGAGGGTGGGGGAGGGGACTGGAGGGCCACAGGGCCAACGTGGAGAAATTTGGTTTGAGGTGGAGGCTTCAGGCAAGGCCCAACTCCTCCCCTCCTCTCATTCTTTACACAGGACCCTCCAGGGGACCCAGCCCCCCACCCACTGATCCCACCCCTACATCTGGTGAGTGACTAAGGCCTCTTGGCTGAGAGGGAGCACGGCCTCCCCCAAGGCAGTCCCGAGTCTCCCAGAGGATCCCGTTCCCCTCAAGGACTCAGCACAGACTTCTCTCCAGAGAGCTGGGCAGAGACATAGGGGGGGCTACGGGCTTCCAGGGGCTTTGAGGCTGGGCTGGTGAGGGGTAGCGGGTCGAGGCAGTGGGAGATGTTGGGGCCCAGCCTGAGGGAGGAGGAGCCGGACTGACATGGGGAGCAGGACAGCCCCAGGCCTCAGCTCCCCATCCTGACCCAGCAGTCCCTGAGGACCAGCTTGGCCCTCCCACAGAGTCACATTCCCACAGTGGTTAGTCAGAGTCTCTGAGCAGGAGGTGGGTGGGGTCCAGGGGAGGCAGGGCTGAGTTCAGGCCCCTCAGCTGCCTAGGCCTCAGTTTCTCCAAGTATAAAGGAGAGAGGCCTGCGGGGTGAGAAAGTTCCTTTCAGCTCTGACTCCTAGCTGTGACCTCCTGGGAGAGGAGGCCACCTAGGGAAGCCTCCTAGACCTGATTCCTCAGTGGCCTGTCCTGTCCCACCTGCAGCAGTGACAGTGACGCTGACCTGGGGCAGGGAAGGGGAGCAGGGCCGTGGTTCAGGAGGTCAGGCGCTTTCCCTGTAGCTATGGGTCTCAGCTCGGGTGCAGGGAACAAGGGCTGCAGCTCAGACTCCCGGGTTCCCTTCCCAGCTCTGCTGCTGCCTAGCTGGGGGGCCTGGGGCAGGCAACTCCCCTCTCTGAGCCTGTTTTTTGTCTGTAAAGTGGGTGGGGTGGATGTGTCAATTCCGTGCTGCTTGACTGTTGTGGGGGTTGGAGGAGATGAATAAGAGGGCCAGCAGTCACCTGCACACAGTAGGCGCTCAATCAGTGACATCACCCCATTCCTGACATCATCATGCTCAAGGTCTGGGAAAGCACCTGGGGATTGTGACCGGGGTCTCAGTGGCCTTCGTCCTGCTGCTCTTCCTCCTCTTCCTCCTCTTCCTCGTCCTCCGACATCAGCGTCAGGGCAAACACTGGACATCTGGTGAGTAGGGAAGAGGCAGATCCTATGGGCCAACCAAGGGTGGGCTCAGGGCACCAGCCAGAGGGAATCCAAACCGCTGGAAAAATGCAGCTTTGAGAAACTGTTCTAGCATTTCTCACCAGGCAAATCGAGAAAGCACTTAATGTCAGTCCCCACATACAAATGTAAAGTGTCCTTTGGGCTCTCTCCATCTGAGACATTTGGAGCATGGAGGCAGGAGTGTTTCCAGGTTTCCTTCTTTACCTTTGAGCTGCATCTGCAGGGCAGGTGTTCCCAGGACTGAGACTCTGTCCTTCTTCACATAGCCCAGAGAGAGGCTGATTTCCAACATCCTGCAGGGGCTGTGGGGCCAGAACCCACAGGCAGAGGCCTGCAGAGGAGGTAATTCTGCCCGAAGACCCCAGACTCCCACCCACCCCGGCCCATACACTGCCCCTAAAGCTCCCATGTCCTCTCCTAGGTCCAACCCGGCTGCCAACACCCAAGAAGAAACCCTCTGTGAGTGAGAGAAAGAGGTGACCCCAGCCAGGAGGGAGATGGGGGCCCACAGTTTCCATAGCAATGGGAAAAGGGCACAGGCTGGAAGGGGTGTGGGGCTCAGGGTGACAGGATCTCACCCCACACTGCGGGACCTTGGGACATCACAACCCCTCCTTGGATCTCAGCTGCCCCCACTGGGAGCTGGGCAGGGGCTGATGGGGCTGAGAGGTCCCAGGGAACCTTCCCAGGAGATAAACCCCTTGCTTTGCCCCAGCAGATGCTGCTGTGAAGGACACAGAGCCTGAGGACGGGGTGGAGCTGGACACTCAGGTGAGACCCCGCCCCTGTCCCGGGCACCAAAGGCCTCCTGGTGCCGGATCTAACCCAGCAGGATTTCTCTGTCCTCCTTCCCCGGCTCTCAGCACCATCCAGGGTGGACCCTCTGTGTCCAGCATGCTGCCTCCCGTCTGCTGTGACCTCACTCTCTCCTGGTGTCCTGGGACCTCATGGGCCTCCTCCCGGGTGCCCTTCCTGCTCCTCATCCTCTGTTCGGCCGTCTGGGTGTTAGAGGGCTCCCCAGGCCTCAGAGGATGAGGAATGAACCACCCCGGTGCCCTGGGCTCCCCTTCATTCATTCACCCAGCGAGTGTTCCCAGGAGCTCACTGTGGTTGGGGCTCCCCGTGGGAGCTGCAGACACAACAGGGAGCAAAGCCGCCCCCACCCTCCTGAGCTCACCTCATGGTGGGCAACAAAATGCAAATAAACGCGTAGTGTCCAGGAGTGTGACGTGCTGTGAGGAAAATAAACCAGGGAAAAGGCAGAGAGTGCGGGGCAGTGGGGCCAGTCTGAATGGTAAGGAGAGGGCTGTCTGGTCAGCTGTCATCTGAGAAGCCTGGACGGAGAGGGCCACACCATCCTCTAATGGACGAGCCCCTGCAGGCAGAGGAAACAGCAGTGCAAAGGCCCCGAGGCAGCAGTGAGCTCTTGTGGGAAGGCAGGCGTGAGACTGCCGCCAAGTGGGCAAGGTCAGAGTGAGGAGGAGAGGTCAGAACCGCAGGGAGGGAGCAGCCAGACCCTCCACGGCCTTAGGGCGTCCCTGAGATTCCATCAGGAAAGGGATGTAAACGGATCACTCTGGGAACACTGGGATAAATTAACTCCAGGGGGTCAGGGGGACTCAAGGATACCCTCCAATCTCTGTCTCTCTCGAGCAGAGCCCGTATGATGAAGACCCCCAGGCAGAGACCTATGCTGAGGTGAAACACTCCAGACCTAAGAGAGAAATGGCCTCCCCTACTTCCCCACTGTCCAGGAAATTCTTGGACACAAAGTACAAACAGGCAGAAGAGGACAGGCAGAAAGACAGTCAGGTAGATACTTTCCTCTCCAGGCCCCCAGGCCTCACCCACCTTCCAGCATGTTCCTTCCCTCTCTCTCCCCCCCCACTGCAGGCTGCTGCATCTGAAGCCCCCCAGGATGTGACCTATGCTCAGCTGGACACCTTAACCCTCAGACGGAAGGCAACTGAGCCCCCTTCATTCCAGGAAGGGGCCCCTCCAGCTGAGCCCAGTGTCTACGCCACTCTGGCCATCCACTAGCCTGGGGGGGACCCAGACCCCACACTCAACAGGAGGAGACTCAGGGACTCCAGAAGGCACGTAAGCTGCCCCCAGTGGACACCAATGAACCCCAGCCAGCCAGGACCCCTAGCACAGACCACCAGGACATTCTGGAGACATTGGGACTCACTTGATTTTTGCAGTCTAAATAACTAATATCCCTACCTTTTTTAGTTAAAGCAACAGACTCCTCAATAATTAATGAGTTAATTGAGAAAACTAAAACAGAAGTAAGAATGTGCTTGAAACTGAATCACAATATAAATATTACACACCACACAATGAAATTGGAAGACGAAAAACCACAACTGAATAAAGTAGAAAAGAAAAAAAAACCTAGGAAATGAATGATCTTGGCTTTCATATGAGGAATTTAGAATAATAATAATAAATTATTTGAAATGAAGGTGTAAGGAAGGGAATAATAAGAGGAGTTTCTCATTAGGAAAAAACAAAACTTGAAAATTCAACAAAGCCAGTGAAGCTCATTCTTGAAAACATTAATTACACTCATGAATCCTAGCTACAATGGGCAAGAAAAAGAAAGAGCAGGCATGCATTTCCATATGGGAGTGAGTGAGCAGACAGCCCTACAGATCCTACACACGTTTTCAAAAACTAACAACAGAACAGGCTGCAGGCCGGGCACAATTGTTCATGCCTACAATCCCAGCACTTTGGGAGGCCGAGGTGGGTGGATCATGAGGTCAGGAGTTCAAGACCACCCTGGCCAAGATGGTGAAACCCTGTCTCTACTAAAAATACAAAAATTAACCAGGCGCAGTGGTGGGCACCTGTAATCCCAGCTACTCAGGAGGCTGAGGCAGGAGAATTGCTTGAACCTGGGAGGCAAAAGTTGCAGGGAGCCAAGAGCCAAGATTGCGCCATTGCACTGTAGCCTGCGTGACAGAGTGAGACTCCCTCTCAAAAAAAAAAAAAAAAAAAACCAACAACACAGGCTGCAAGCCTATGCCAATATGCCAATATACTAGAAAATGCAGATTACACAGACAAAACATTCAAAACTGTAGATTACTTAATGAATGTAAGAGTAAACAGAGCATCTGAATCATTTTAGATGTGTGTATGTTTTTCACATATATATATGAAAAACACACATATATATATACACACACACGTTAATAAAAATGTTCTCATGGTATAAGCTCCAGTTCTCAGGGACTCCAAAAGGCACAGGAGCTCTCTCCAGCACAGCCTGCATGATTCAGACCCTCAGGCAGTGACCTATGCTGAGGTGAAACACTCCAGACCTAGGAGAGAAATGGTGGAAGCTCATTGGTGATTTTTTTTCTTTTTCTTTTTTTTTTTTTTTTTTTTTGGTGATTTCTTATAAATATTATTTCGGGAAGCTTCACTGGTGATTTCTTATAAATATTGACACACAAATGAAACACACAAACACACTCAGAGCATCACAAATGTTTCTTGAGAATAGAAAAAGAGGCAACGTGCTCGGGTGCAGTGGCTCATGCCTGTAATCCCAACATTTTGGGAGGCAGAGGCGGCAGATTACTGGAGGCCAGGAGTTCAAGACCAGCCTGGCCAACATGGCAACCCATCTCTACTAAAAATACAAAAATTAGCTGGACGTGGCGGTGCACGCTATAATCGCAGCTACTTGGAAGGCAGAGGCAGGAGAATCACTTGAACTCAGCAAGAGGTAGAGGTTGCAGTGAGCTGAGATTGTGCCCCTGCACTCCAGCCTGGGTAACACAGACAGACTCTGTCTCAAAAAATTTTAAAAAAAGAAGTCATCACATATAAAATGGAATTTTCCATCATATAAAAGGCATGTTTTAAAATGTACAGTTTGTTTCAAAATAATATTTTTTATTTTAATGTTTTACTTCATTTTATCTGGCAATAAAAAATTCTACATATTTAGGGTGTACAACATGATATTTTAATACATGAATATCCTGTGAAATCCCTAGGTCAAGCTAATTATCTGTAACATCACATAGTTATCTTTTTGTTAAGAGAACATTTAAAATCTACTCTCTTAACCAGTTTTCACATATACAATCCATTGTTAGTAACTGTAGTCACCGTATTGTACAAAAGATCTGCTAAACTTACTCTTCCTATGTAACTGAAATGTGGTCTCCTTCAATACAGCTCTCCGATTCCACCCAGCCCAGCTCCCGGGAACCACCTTCCACTCTACTTCCATGAGTTGGCCTGGCGCATTCCACACATAAGTGAGATCATGCAGTAGGTGACTTCCTGTGCCTTCTTTATTCCACCTGGCGTGATGTCCCCTAGGCTCATCCATGTTGTCACAAATGAAACAATTTCCTTCCTCTAGAAGGCTGAATAGTTTTTTGCTGTGTATATACTGGGCACTTCATTTTCTGTATCCATTCACCTGCTGATGGACACTTGGGTGGGTTCCATGTCTTGGTTATTGTGACTGATGCTGTAGTGAGCATGGGAGTGTGTGCATCTCTTCAACGTTCTGATTTCATTTCCTTAAGGTACACATCCAGCAGTGACGTCGTTGAAACATATGGCAGTTCTAATCATTACTTCTGAAAAACATCTGTAGTATTTTTGTAATCATTGTACTCACTTACATTACCACTAGCAGAGCGCAATGATTCTATTTTTTCCACATTCTCATCAACACTTGTTGCTCTACTCTTTTTCTTTTTTTTCTTTTTCCTTTTTTTGAGATGGAGTCTTGCTCCATCATCCAGGCTGGAGTGTAGTGGTATGATCTCATCTCACTGCAACCTCTGCCTCCCGGGTTCAAGCAATTCTCCTGTCTCAGCCTCCCGAGTAGCTGGGACTACAGGTGCCTGCCACCACATCCAGCTAATTTTTTTGTATTTTTAGTAGAGACAGGGCTTCACCTTGTTGGTCAGGCTAGTCTTGAACTCCTAACCTCAGGAAATCCACCTGCCTCAGCCTCCCAAAGTGCTGGGATTACAGGCATGAACCACGCGTGCCCAGACTACTCTTTTTCATAGTAACCATTCTAACAGATGCCAGGTTATAGCTTATTGAAGTTTATATGTATGTATGTATACACATATAGGTATACATCCAAATGTATGCATACATACGCATCCAACTGTATATATACATACATGTGTATATATGTGCATATACATATGTACATATATATGCATGTGTGTATATATGTATACATATGTATACACATATATGTGTAAAAAGTAAAATTTTGCAGTGAAATATCACTTCACAGCTGTTAGATTGGCGATTTTCAAAATGATGAAAGGTAAGTGTTGGTGAGGATGGGGAGAAAAGAAAATCCTTGCACACCATTGGTGGACATGTAAGTTAATACAGTCATTTTGGAAAACAGTATGGAAGCCCCTCAAAAAACTAAAAGTGCGACCACCGTATAATCCAGAAGTCTCACTTTGTATATACCCAGAAGAAATGAAATCGGCACACAGAAGAGATGTCCACGCTCCTAAGTTCATGCAGCACTATTTACGATTACCAAGTTATAAAAATGATTGTATTTTTGAAAAAGGATTCATTTCTCCTCTCCCTGCAGAGAATTACAAATTAGCTGAACTCTGAGTACTCACCCATGTATGTATCTAGGAGGGTGCATGTGCACGTGTGTGTGTGTGCATAAGTGGTTTTCCCATTCTGAGTACTTATCCATGTATGTAACTATGAGGATGCATGTGCACATATATGTGTTTCAGTATGTGGTTTTCCCATTTTTCCTCCCTCAAGGATGCCACATTATACATTTTGGATTCTTTGCTTTTCCAACTAAATTACATCATTTAGAATTGCTTTCACTGAGTGTGACAAGAGTAAAATATTTTTTAAATTGTGACTCTGGAAATACCTTCCTTTTCCTATCACGCTCTATCAAGTTTATGAAAAAAAAATTAATTTTTATTTGTATTTTAAGTTCTGGAGTACATGTGCAGGATCTGCAGGTTCGTTACACAGGTAAACATGTGCCATGGTGGTTTGCTGCGTGTATCAGTCCATCACCTAGGTATTAAGCCCAGCATGCATTAGCTATTTACCCTGATACTTTCCCCTTCCTGCCCTGCACTCCTCCAACAGGCCTCAATGTGTGTAGTTCCCCTCCCTGTGTCCATAGGATCTCATTGTTCGGCTCCCACCTATAAGTGAGAACATGCAGTGTCTGGTTTTCTGTTCCTGTGTTGGTTTGCTGAGGATAATGGCTCATAGTATTCCATGGTGTATATGTACCACATTTTCTGTATCCAGTCTATCGTTGATGAGCATTTGGGCTGATTCCATGTCTTTGCTATTACGAATAGTGCTGCAATAAACATGTGCATGTATCTTTGTAATAAAATGATTTATATTCCTTTGGGTATACACCCAGGTATTGCTGTGTCAAATGATATTTCTGGTTCTAGATCTTTTAGGCATCACCACAGAATCTTCTATAATGGCTGAACTAATTTACATGCCCACCAACAGTGTAAAAGCGTTGCTCTTTCTCTGCAACCTCACCAGCCTGTTTTTTCCGGACTTGTTAATAATCGCCATTCTGACTGGGATGAGTTGGTATCCCACTGTGGTTTTGACTTGCAATTCTCTAATGACCAGTGATGTTGAGCTTTTTTTCATGTTTCTTGGCTGCATGAATGTCTTATTTTGAGATGTATCTGTTCATGTCCCTTGCCCAGTTATTAATGAGGTGGTTTTATTCTTGTAAATTTGTTAAGTTCCTTATAGATTCTGGATGTTAGACCTTTGTCAGATGGACACATTGCAAAAATTTTCTCCCACACTGTAGGTTGTCTGTTTGCTCTGACGATGGTTTCTTTTGCTCTTCAGTTTAATTTGATCCCATTCGTCAATTTTAGTTTTTGTTGCAATTGCTTTTGGTGATGTGGTCATGAAATCTTTGCCTGTGTCTATGTCCTGAATTATATTAAATAAAGCATAATGAAATATATGTAGAAGGGAAAGTACATGTAACGCTGAAGGCGTCCAGTGAAACCTGACACAGTGGGTTTAATGTGAGACAAGCTGCCAACAGGTCATTTACCCTTGTCTTTGAGAATTTGGGTTAATATAGAATTCTTCACTCACCATAAATTTCTGAAGGCATTTCTTTAGTATCTCCTGGTGTTGAATTTGCTGTTGGAAGGTCCAATCCCAATAAGCATGCAAATCCATTGAAAATAATTTGCATTTTTTTTTTTTTTTTTTTTTTTTGAGACGGAGTTTCGCTCTTGTTACCCAGGCTGGAGTGCAATGGCGCGATCTCGGCTCACTGCAACCTCCGCCTCCTGGGTTCAGGCAATTCTCCTGCCTCAGCCTCCCAAGTAGCTGGGACTACAGGCGTGCGC